GCTGAAAGAGAAGCACCAGAAAATGCAGATGCCCCCATAGCCTCTTGGTTACTGACTACCTAACCGACAGACAGACCACAGTTTGTACAACTGCAGGGATGTGTGCCTCAATGGGTGCTAAGCAACACAGGAGATGGTTGTGTAGTTTTGGAGGACTAGGACTAGCTAAAATGCGGCATCAGAGCCAGTGACACCAGCAAACTGAACAAACTAATCAGGAGGGCTGGCTCTGTGCTGGGGATGTCTTCTTGGAGAGGACGATGTTTAAAACTGTTAAACATGGAGAACAACTCTCATCTCCTCCACATCCTCCTGGTCAATCAGTAGAGCACTTCCAGTCAGAGACTGTGACAAAGAGCACTACAGGATGTCTTTCCTGCCGACAGCCATCATCCGTTACAATGACTCTCTTGCTCCTCTGATAACATAAGTTTGTCCATGTGTATTTATTTTGGCTAATTTTCAAACATGTTAATATCCATCCTTTACATCTAATAATTTCTTTCTTCAGGAGTTAAGAGAATAATCCTGTGCATAGCCAGAGACAATGTAGACCCGTCATCCATCTAAATGGGTGCAGAAGGGAAACAGGAGTTTCAAATGTCACAAAAATATAAGATTCCAATGCACACTAGGGATGTCTAAATATAGGATCTAGTTTATTAATTTACACACATAATGGTGCAATTCTAAATTATACATCTAGACATCACTAGTGTGCATTGGAGTCTTAAATTTTTGTCATTTCTATCTTTACTTTTATTTTACAGCATTATATATCTTCAAGGATAATCACAGTATTCTTCCTGATTATTTACTGTAGTTGTAAAGCAATGACAAACAAACTGTTATGGTTGAGTCCCCTCACCAGGGGGTGAGGGAGAACAAGAGGTAGGACTCAGGATGCAGACCCAGGTGCTAGTAAAAAAAAAAAGGTCGTTTATTGGAGGAAAGAAAACAAAGTACTGAGTATATGTATAGTCCATTAACCAAAGTAGGGCAGTGATGACTGAGGAGACCAGGAGGAACCCAGGAGGGATGCTTGAACCAGGAAGACGGGCAGATGAGAATCGCCGGAGGTGTAGAAAAAAAGGATCAACCACACAGAAACTGTCAGCGTTGAAGCCAGGTGAACCAATATACATACGAAAACAACCGCACAGCAACTGCCAGCGTTGGCATCGCGTATACAAGATCAAAATACATTAATGCTCTGGGAGCGATGGAGCGTCTGCCAGGGGTTTAAATAAGAAAGGGAAGTGATTAGTGGAATGAGCGTCAGCTGTGTTGCGCCCGGAAGTCAATTATCAGGTGAGGCACCTCAGCAGTGTTGCTGAGCACCAAGGGATGAGAGAGGGGGGAGAAAAAGAGGGAAGTGAGGCAGGTCACGGCAAACGGACCTGACACAAACACACATGCAATCTCCCAATGTTTGACCGTAAATTTTGTTAAGAGGTCTTTTCATATTCTAGGCACTACCACAGACTCTGGACAAATATTACAGCTTGTAGTATTGTGTGTATATGCAGTGTGTGTGTGTGTGTGTGTGTGTGTGTGTGTGTGTGGTCAAGCAAGTACTGAGAGATTCATTTTCAGAAATCAACATTAGCTAATCTATCATAGGTTGACTCTGTTGTGTGAAAATAATGAACTGTGAAACCCAACTGGATACTCAGTCATTTATATTAGAAACTCATTCATTCATTTTCTACCGCTTAGTCCCTGAGCGGGGTCACGGAGCCAATTCCAGCCGGCAATCGGGCGAAGGCGGGGTACACCATGGACAGGTCGCCAATCCATCGCAGGGCTAACACATAGACAAACAACCACACACACACACACACACACACGCATGCACTCCTATGGGCAATTTAGAGACACCAATCAACCTAAGCTGCATGTCTTTGGACTGTGGGAGTACCTGGAGAGAACCCACGCAAGCACGGGGAGAACATGCAAACAGAAAGGACCCGGGTGGGGCCCAAACCTGGAACCTTCTTGCTGTGAGGCAACGGTGCTAACCACTGCACCACCGTGCTGCCATTAGAAACTTTGGTGACTTAATTATTTTATTCCATATTTAAAATGAAACTGTACATGCAGCTCTACACAGGGGAAATAACTGTCAGCCAGTTTACCATTCATTTCATTTGTGTGTGAGAGAGAGCTGTTCTGTTGTGAAGCCATGCCAAAGCCATCATCTCAAAATGTTTAATTTTAAACACTGTAAATATTCCCAGCCAGGATGCTGTCCCATGGCTGCCCCTAGACTGTTATGTGTCACTGGACTGCCGATTCAGCCCTGAGTGATAACTGCCTAACCCTCTAAGTGTTACTGCTCACCACAGGCTCAGCCAATCCGCAGCAGAGATTTGGCAGGGCTACACGTTGTGGGAGCATTGGTTCGTGATTTGAAAGGTATCAATGCTTTGCACATGACTAAGCTCAAGTGTTTCTGCCCAAAATGAAAATGACTATAATTAGTATGCCATTTTGCCAAATGTCATCAGGCTATGATTCTCTCTTGATTCAGCTGACTATATATTAGAGTTACTCAGCAGTATGTCAGAAGGCAATGGATCTGCAAATCAATGGATGTCACTTTCAATGCTCTACCTCCATCTAAGCAGCATAATGAGCTTAGTACATCAACACCATCAACCCATGGCCATCATTACACCATTAAATGCTCTGAAGACAGGCCATTTTCAAAGTGCAGTAGCACCCTGTAAGTCGTTCATTCACAAATTCTAAAAGTTATTCCAATTCTAAAATTTGTGAAATTAATTCACAAATTCTAAAAGAAGAATGGTTTGTTTTTATAACAAACAATGAAAAGCAGCAATAACTAGGTATTTATATATATGTTTGGTGACAGCAGAACAAGATGTAAACATAACATTAATAAATTTTAGGCCTTGTCCATAAGTACAGTATTTTTAAAAATATAGCTTTGTCTAAGCATATCAGCCTTTCATCAACACGCTAACTGTGTTTCACTGAAAACTGAACTTCTGGAAAACTCAATCAAGGGCAATGGTAGACATAACCAAACTAGTGATGGTAGTAACATTGCTAACCAGGCTTTAGTGTGCTTCACTTGCATACACAATTACTTGCCCACTCTGTTGAGGAATGGCGTCATCAGAATGCATTACAGAGGTCACTGCAATGCTTAACAACACTCCCACACTGATCTATTCCACAGACCCCAACAAAACCAGTAAGAACTTTTTTCAGGCTTTTGATTTCATGTGGATAAAAAAATTGTGGAGGAGAGGCTTAAAGCATTATTAGAAGAAGGAATACATTGTGAGCAGGTGGAGCTGGGGCTGGTTTTAGTTATGTCTAGAGATGCACCTAGCGGAAA